TTGTTTCCAAAGCATGCTATGTTTAATGTAGAAAATAAATTAAAATGATTTCGTATTCATCACATGCAAGCAATGTTATTTTAGCGTTTTTCTCGAAAACGGTTAGATTTATCGAAACAAATAAAGTATACCTTTTTTATGTCAAAAGGTTAGGAGAACAAAAATATTCAGTCAAATTTCGCATAAAGTGTAGCACAAAAAAGTTGGAACCATTCAAATCAAAATAAAGGCTCGTATGTGGCGCCCTCTACAAAATGCGAAAAAACGGTGGGCAAATTTATAATCCTCATCCCGAAAAACCCCCATATACGAAATTTCGTCAAAATATTATGAGTGTGGCAAAAGATATTGCAAAAAAACTGTAAATAAAATTTAACTTTAACACCCTGTAACTCCGTTAATAATCAGTTTTGGAAAAAATGTTATAGAAAGAGGTAGTATTTATTTTCGGTCTAGAATTATGCCCTGAATTTTTTGCTCATAATTTCCGGACACCCTGTATAATAAAGAAAAAAGAACAATTAAAGGTAATCGTAATTAAAGCTTTTAAAAAGACAATACAAAGAAATTCTGAATATTGACCAAGTACCTGATAAATCCTTATAATTTAAAATAATTGTTTTTGTTTTCAAAGAAGTTGTTTACAAATATAAATTATTGAATTTAAATTGTTTCTTGTTTTTAGATGAAAAATAGAACCAATTCTAATTGCTGTGCATAATTATTAAAATTATTAAACAAAATAATAATATATCATACCATTTCAGAGAAAGGCATAGAACAACGGTTAGCCAGCTGTACAGCATGATTGCGAATTGCGACTGCCTGACGATTTTTTTATCAGGACATATAACTAATGAATGACTTCATTACTGAAAATCCTTGACAAAATTATATCACAAGTTTAACGTTGTTTAGGAGAAGGGGAGTTATATTGATGAAATCATAATTAGGTAGATAATAATTTAATTTTTAATTAATTTGTAGCTATAACATTTTAGTAAAAATGCTTGACAAAAATTGTATCACAACTTGAGAAGTTTTCGAGAAGAAGAGTTGTATTGGCCAATATTCAATTAAATACAAAAATAATAATGTGGCAAATAAACAATTAAGTATAGATTGTAATAGAGTTGGTGTCGGTACCTATCTCTGGATTGTGATGTTTAATTATTTTTCTGATAAATCACATATCACTTTTGCAATGCCTTCAAATACAACGAAGTAACAGGTAGTTAACATTTTCAGGTGATGATCCTATAGGTACATTTATTTTTAGGTAATTGGAAATTTGCGCATTATACCTAGTTGGAAAATAAGTACATTATCTCCGAAACGGCTGCTACTATTAAAAAAAACACCAAGAAACACTTCATTTATTTAACGTAACAGTACCTGAATTTAAAATCATTTCAACACCACCCGTGGCGTATTTTTTTCTTGGGAAAACAGAGCGGCATTTTCAGTAGCACGCCCCTGCTTAATGCCGCGAGATCATTATTATATTCAATAAAATGTCTAATTAAGTGAATACGCTGTAGTAAATTCATTCAAATCGTTCAGCGCATTATGAAGATATGACGGAAAATATATATGTATTTTTTTAGAAACTTGAACACCCTATATCTCGAGTACCTCCCCCAGGAAAAAAGCAAACTCTACTTATTTTTTTTTAACTAATCTATTCCTGCAGTTCCTGTATTTAAAGTGAAATCACCCTGTACAACATACATTAAATGCGATTATTAGTAGGTATTAACAATTTATAATAATGTTCCTAACAAACATAGTGAATTTAAAATAAGCTTAACTTTAGTTAGAATTAGAAGGCAGACAGTACTTAAAGTCGAATACTATCTGACATATCAATACAAATGTGTGTTTACTGATGAACTGATTAGCGTTAGTTTGAGAAAATCGAAATCCTATTTTTTTTATATAAAAATTGATTGCTATTAGGGGATTACATAAGATTGAATTCATTACTCATAAGTGACAGGTAGACAATTCGTTATGTGTGAACAAATTACCCAAACGTCAACTTTATATTAATAACTGTATGAATTATCTCCGTTGAAATGAATCAATTTGGCTAAGTAATAAGGACGTAGATATAGTGGACAAGGATTAACATGTACTGAAATACAAAGAGAAACTTTTAAGTGCCTCTTTGGACATTGCAGGAGCAAGAGCAATCAGCTTTGTATCGAGGGAAAAGATTCCCCTTTTATCAGACTTGCTGCAGGTGAACAGATTACATTACTACTAAATTGAAGATTGTAATAGGTATTGAAGACACCTCCTTAATGGAAAAAACTGTACTGACTGGACAGTAATTGAGGAGTCCGCAGGGAGGATACTGTCTCTTCTGCTGTGCGGACTGTGCCATCATATAAAAGACAGTCTGTAGATATATGCTTATATGTTTCCTACTCCAATTAATTAATTTTTTATAAATATTTTTATGCAAAAGAACGTATTTTTTAGTTTCTTTTTTTTCTTATAAAACCTAAACTACTTAACGAAGAAATCTGAATGCTATACAGAGACAATTTGTAGAGAATCGAAATACGAATGTAAAACGAGAGGTCGATCGATTAGAAACGATGAAAACCGGGAAAAATATGTAGTGAATTATATGTACTTTAAGTGTGCACAAAACAGGAGTTATCGGATCATTAGTTTTGGCACAATTGCAATTTGAATTTTTTGGTGCACTATATTGCAAAATTTATGAATTTTTTTAGGTGTATTTTAAAAGTAGAAATATAATAGGTACTATAAAACATGTATTCTAATATTCCGATAAAATGATGCGAAATAGGTGAAAGATTTCTCCAAACATGCTCAAAACGAACGGCCGAACGCGCGTACGCGGTCGTGTAGTGGGGGAAAATCAGGAGATGAGCGGCAGTGGATATACAGGGTGTAGCAAAAGTACCGGAACGGCAGAATAACTCGGCGGGAGAGAAAAATGTTAAATACAAAAGTTTCAGGATTTCTCCCTGGCTATCCGATGGTGATGGTCAAGGTCAATGTCAAGGTCACGAAGGTAGGAGACTATTCGCGGTAACAGCTATTAAATACATACGAACAGATTCGGAGTCATTGCCTGGTATACATATGTGTTAAAGACCGACCGTACAATGTACTGGAACTACCTCTTTGATGAAATGATGGGCTCTGATTTCAGCATTGCATATTGTAACTACCTTTAGTTCTCCAAGTAGAGATACATGCAACATTATACTGTACGAAAATAGTAATAGACTTATTAATACAACAAAAAACCGGTATGAGAATGTCTTGAGAACGATAGAAGGACTGACATCATAATAAGTTTATTTGTGCGCCGTAACATTCAAAAAGCTGATAAATTTGCTTTACTCTTTATATTGGTCCAGAATCCTCTCTGAAAGTGTCAAAAATCAACTGAAACAACTTACCCAAGTACCCATATAGTAACATTTTCATCAAACAATTATAAATGCAGCACTGCTATCAGTTGATAGGAATCAGTTACGTGCAGTGACAGGGTTCCTCACAGGACATTGTGGTCTGAAAAAACACCTGAACAGAATTGGGCTGTATAATAGTGATCGAAAATTCAAACTTTGCAATAGTACACCAGGAACAGTCTATAGACAACAATAAATTGGTCAAAATGAGTATAGCACTCAACCCATGACGATGCTGCACAAACCAGTGCAAGAGATCCTGTACTGGAATGAGTGCTAAATTGAAATTTGGACATAGTACAATGAACCAGAAGGTTAAGGAAGTATTTCCAGAGGCATTACAAGGCGGTTCTCACAAAAAAAGGTAGAAGCTACTAAAAAGACGATTATACACAAATTATTGAAATGGTTATTTAGATATTAACTTATAATAGGCAACTGCACATTGATACTGAAGAGATTATACTTATTTTCTTGATAAAAGTTATTTCTTTGTAGTGTAACAGATTTTAGAATTTTTTAAATACCTACTACCCATTTGAGTATCTATGTATAAAATTCTTAACGAATTTAGTGAAATAAATAGTTACAAATATGTAATATCCTTTAAGTGTTTCATAGTACTAATCCTCCTATGTGATTATTTCCTATCTCTTATACTTATAGTTGACAATATGTATCCGAAAATACATTGAGTTATCTTTACTATTTTGAATTTATTTTATCTCTAGATCAAACAGTACAAATATGATGAATGGGTAATTGACAGTGTTATTCTGCTAATACCACACTCTGATTGTATTTGTGGGATTTAGTTATCGTCACATATTCAAACACATAAGGTATTCTACCTTATTAAATTTCAGTGATAGGTACACAATATATTATAAGCACCTATGTAGAATTTAATGGATGTACAGGTGTGTGTGAATGTAAGTGTAACTAAATATTTGACTTTTTTGACGGATTGCGTATTACAAATTAATTAAAATATGACATATAATAACAAAAATTACAAAAATTTGTTTACCATGGCAAATAAAAGACTGACGTTGCCACAACGCTTAACAATTTAAGTTATTAATAAACTGTCAATTGAGCTTTGCTGTGTTTAATTAGTAAAAGTGGTGAGTGGAAAATTTAAGTTTTGTTTGAGCCCTTTTAAGGGCATATAACTTCCTAAGGGTGCGTTTTAGGGCACATGTTAATAGGAACCTTTTGGCTTATTTTAATGAGTTATAAACGCAGCAGAAGTTTGGAACCCTATTTTAGAAACACCCTGTATAACATATAACATATTAACAAAGTTATAAAATAAAATAAATTCAAAAATGAATCGAAAAGAAAATGCCGAAGATCAGCTGGTCATGCGAATATGACCACTGTTATTAATCTTGAGCAAACATAACTATCTAACAGTTTATATTTTATGGCATAACGAATATCATATTTACATAAGATAATGTTACTAATTCTAAAGAACATACAGAAAAGAAATACCTATATCTACTTTTTAGAAAGAAGAGAAGGGTATCAATAACAAAAAAAATTTATTTAGATTATCTATTAATTTTAGCGTACGTTTGACAGCAGACACTGGTTTAGATTTTATAGACTTAGTAAGGTTATTGTATATTTTAATTATCTGATAAGTAAAAGAACATTTAAATAATTCTGTACGACGAGCAGGAGGAGTCAGCCGCCCTTTAAATCTTATATTAATATTATGGACGTCACTTCTGAAGGAGATTTTATTATATAACGCCTGTCAGACATGTTAAGCCATCCAAGCTCCTTGAGTTTATGAGAAATTGATTGTCTTTTTCTGATTCCGAATATAAATCGGAGACATGCATTTTGAACTGTTTGAATTCTTCGAGCATCATTGAAATCAATACAGAGTCCATAAAGTGCATCACTGAGGTTACATTTTGACAGAACTAATGATTCACACAGCAGAGTTTTAAATTTTTTATATATCTGTTGTTATATAACAATTTTAAGTTTCCATAAGCACTACGTATACAATTATTTATATGAAGCTTGAATTTTAAAGTTGAATCCATGACTAATCCTAAGTTTCTAATATTATTTACAGGTAGAATTTCTTCGTCACCAAATTTAATTTTTGCTGTTCAAAATTAAGTCGTGCTTTTTTTTGGGCCGAAAAGTAAAACCGATGTTTTCTTTGAATTAATGCTCAAACTGTGATCTTTTGACCATTTTATTATATTAGAAATATCCTTATTTATGTCTTGTAAAGCTAAATCGCAATCTTTAGGTGGGAATGAGTAATAAATTTGGGTGTAGTCTGCGTAAAAATGACATTTACATTTGTGAATTGCTTTTTGTATAGAAGAGGAGTAAAGCATAAAGATAATAGGTCCTA